TAAAATATCACTACATTCGAGAAAAGAACATAACGCGAATATTAAAAGTTTTACAGGAGATGTCGGAAACACTATACACTATAATTTTATGATATATTTCGGATTTTATTTAGTGTATTGTTCATTTAGAGTTTTTTAACAAAAATGCAGAACAGTACACTATGTTTGATACTTTCTGGTTCATTTGTGTTCACTGTTAATACATCATGACTACTTTAAAAGCTATTAAAATTAATTTTAAGGACTGCGTGCACACATAACACTACACGCCCCACGCCTGTGAAAAACTTCATTTCCCGACTGGAAATTTGTTCGGGATGTAAACCAAAACATATGCGCAAAATCATATTAAAGATCAAATTCTGATTTGGCGTTCTGATCAGGTGTGTTTAAGGAAAATTACGCCGTCAGAGATTTGGTTGTGATAATCTACTCACAAACGATTTTGAGATGACTCACGCCAAAATCGGAGCAATTTTCCTTTATTTAGTATAAATCAAATATTTAATCCACTCATGATTACTTACTTTAAACATTTTCTTTTGCTGCAGCACTGTCTCTGACAATACTTATGTGCTCTAGTTCTAGTCAACGAAGCTGCTGTATATTAATTCGCTTAACAATGTTAATGCCGTGATGAAGGTCATAAGCTTGAGATTCATTTGGATATGATTGACATCACCAAATCGTAAAGGACTAAAGAACTCTTCTCTCTAACACTTTTAAACGTTTAAAAAATAGGTATTTGTAATGAGTTTATCTGCTGACAGATTACTCAAACTCAGAACAGCTTCTACTGATATTTTAAATGACATATTGGTCAAAGACCTAAAGTAGTCAGCCAACATATTCAGTAAGCGGGTCATCCCCTTTACATTGGAGTACATCTTAATCACAATATGTGCTGCACTACCAGATTATCAGAAATCGTTTTTCAAATCGTTTATATTCGGTTATTATTGTAATTATAACAATAAAAATGTTCTTTAAATTATGTTAACTATTCACATAATTGGATCATTTAATTATTAACAATTTATTAACTATTAACAGTTATTATCAGTTTATACCTAAACCTGATTAGAGGACGTAGGCATTACTATTGCATTAGACACATTTATAGAAAAAATAAGGTTAACGTAGACATTACTGCACTTGACTTCCATTTAATACAAGGCCACATCTTGTTATTGCGTTGATCTAAGCGATCCCTTTTTTATTTGTTTTTTTTTTTTAATTCAATTTCTTTTAACTATAACTAACGAGATTAACCTATATATATATCACGTAAAATATATACATAGCTACCTATAATAATACTTCTCACTATGTATGGCATTTGGGTAATGGGATTTCTATTTTAGTTGGACAGTGAAATAAATATTTCGCTTATCGAGCAAGTTGGAAATAAGTGAATAATTAATTATAAATAAAACAGATTGCTTAATCCTTAGAGAGATAAAAAAAAATATAAAGATACGAACCTGTAAGATGATCCATCAATGACGATAAACGAGCGCTGATCAACATCAACATCGAGCATATGTAAAAAAAATTTCATCGACTATTACTTCGATCTTCTGGTAAATATATTAAATTTTACAAATATTTTCATTTTTACTTTTAATAGTAATTTTCTGTTGAAAGCAGTAATTCATTCTTCTGGTGTGTGGAATCCATGTTGATGCTCATCTACTATTTTCTTTAAAATTTTTACTAGCCACTTTGTTAATTGACAAATGATCAATTACTTCTCCCCGATGGATGGACGTTCTTTTGAAAAACTTTGGCATATGGACATATGAGTTTATTGAAATTTCGTGTTGGTTATCCATTGTACGGAGATTGTTGCATTGGAAAACAAATAAGAAAAAAAAGGTTAATTGTTGTTTATGGGTAGAGCCGTAGGCTAAAATGTTGTGCTAATGTAAATCTTATGCTAATCAGTGTCAAAAATGGCAATAAAGATTTTTTACTGCAAGTCAACTGAAATCTTGGTACTGCCAGAGGAGGTTAAATTCTCAGTCAACAACTTTTCCATCCTAAAATGCATTAAAACTGAAACTCCATAAAAAAAATTAACTGCATTAAAAGGTTATTATAGTGCAACTATGCGTAAATTTAAGTAGCACAAATTATGTAGTTACTTTTATATATAAGAAGATATATTTGCAACGTTGTTAATTAATTAAGATTTTAAAGATGTGAGGAATATAAATTTTACAACACAATAAAATACTATACATGCTTTTCTACTCTGAAACAAAATATAAATAAATTTACTCAACTAAATTAGTCGTCGTATATAATATATAATATAAGAGGTCGTAGCCTACGTTACCATCTGAACTAGTTGGTTCTGTTTGAGAAGAATGTCAGTGACATGTTTTGTGACTTCCTGGTTTTGGAAGTCTTGTGACCAGGACGGAATTATTAAAACAGGGGATTCAATCAACGGCTGATATTATACTATCCTAAAGGCTGGCGTTTTGACGTTTATTCGAAGAACAGAGTATTTTCTCTTTATTTATGATCGGTTGCTAGTCAATAAATCCGTTTGTATTATTTTCCGGTGTGTTACTAAATAAACATAGTATTCTATTTTTCTAAAATAGGTCAGTACTGTACCAGGTATTTACCTAAAATATTAAAACAATTTGCTAATAATAGTACATGCTTCGCAACCACATAGTTAAGTGGCCAATATACTATACATTTATTATCACTATGAGTAAAAGACCATTATCTTAAGACTCACTGCGTATTCATTACTTCAGCCGGAGATAATAGCTAAACAAGATATGAAATATTTATACATATTGTTTTTAAGTATCTACCTACTATTTTTTTTTTGTTTTTTAAATAATCGTATAATCGTAAATAAGTCAGTCTCTGCGTAGTCACTACTTTAAAATGAATTTTATTTTCTTTATCTTTGCTGTTGGAGTAAAATTAAATTTAAATTTAGAAACTCCATTTACATATTTTCTATGTTGAAATACAATGCATATTTCTTCTTATGGTTTTAGATATTGTATTCCAGCTATTACCTTATCAGAGTCAACGTGTCGTCATTGGCGGTGTCTTCTGTACCTTACATCGCTTGTCAATTGTACATTATCGTGTCTGTGGATAATTAGAGTTCTTGTTCCTTTTAGTTTCGCAGTTGTCATTGATGTCCATGCACCTTTCTTTCGTTCCTCGTTCTCTGTGCGAAGGCAATTTAGTCGAACGTATCCGCCAGTTTAAACGGAAGTAAACGTATCGGCAACGCAAAGCATTAAGTAGCGCTTGTGTGCAGCCACATTGCCTATCCCAGACTTTTGGGCACATGATGACTTGGTGCGCGCTGCTGGTGTCAATGTTGTTTGCCGCTCAATTACAACAAAATTGCATTAATTGATGTAAAATTTCTTGTGTTTGGCTTTGGTTTACACCAGGAATTACTTTTATTGCGTATGGGTTTGATATGGAGTTCTGTTGTTAATTAAAAGGTCTTAAAAGCATCTAGAAATGGGAATGCGATTTATTTATTTATTGTTAACCGAAGTAATGTTGGATAATTTAAAGTATTTTTACAAGGCATATATTAAAAACCTGATATTATACATAAAAATTTAACATTATAGACTAGCTTCACCAATTAATAGTTTTCAATAATTAAAATATTTTTACGACCCAGATAAAGATATCATTCAGACCAAATTGTTCTATTGAATAATAAAATGCTAAATTGCACATTTTATCATAAATGACTCAATGATTTAGCATTAAAAATGGAATTATTATTTTTTAAAATAGTCTCCCTTATAATCTATACCTTTATGCTTTAAAAAATTAGCAATAGCTATTTCATACATTCCGCTTGAGACATATTCAAGGACTTTGTTTTGAACCTATTTACGGCTTTCTTCCATCGTCGAAAATCATTATCCCCGCAGTTTGTCTTTGATGTATTTTAAATCTGTACTGTACGGTGTATGTACTGCACCGATGTTTTTAGTGCTAGCAAAGTCACTTTGTGTTGAAGCCGATATCTGGGTGTTCACTTTTTCGGGGTGAAGAATTATTTATTATTGGCAGTTGGTTTCATCATTTCATTATCTGCTTGGTTTATTTTGGAGTAGTGTACTATTCAGGTTTGATCGTTCTACATTGTTTTAATAGAATTTTTAAAAATTAATCAGTGTTTTCCAAAAAGCAGGTGAAAGTTATTTTAAAGTACTTCGATCAGGTACGACTTTTATAACTTGGATTACCATGAAACACTCATACAATCGATTGCTATTTGGTTTTGCCATATATACACATGATTTTTCATCTGTCACAATCTTATATATTCTTTAGAGTCAACGTAATTTTGCAAGACTTTATCAAATTTTGTGAGACCCAATGAGAAGGCTTAAATGATAAGGCTAAAATGGCAAGGCTAAAATGGTAGTGCAATATTTTGTGCATGTAGGTGGATCCCTCAACCCTCAACCCCTTATATATATACCTAACGATCATGCATTATCAGCTTTTTCACAGCATTAATTTTTTCTAGCACAACTGACAAACTTCTCGAATTTTGTTCTTGGAACGAATTATGAAAAATTGATAATAAATTCCTTTACATCAGGGTTTCACAATGGTAAAGAACGCCAAAAGTGGAAGTAGCCTTATCAAAGCACTTCCTTAACTCCTAATCGAATATCTTTATAAATCATTGCATAAAAATAATCACAAGTGAACTCCTTGTTGAAGGCCACTGTAAACAATACAAATTACTATCAAATGACAAATTATACTAAATTACATAAAATAAGCTTTGTTAAAGGTTCAAAGTGGTTTTAAGCCGCTAAGTGGATTCCTTTGGATCGCTGGTACAAACTAACCTAACCATCTAACCTACAACTCAACCTAACCTTAACACATAACCAGTTTACGTGATCGTACTTAGGATCGGCAACTACAATTCCATAATCAGTACTAAAATCAATGGCCAGAAATATAGTTGCATTGAAGAATGCATTTATTTTTAGATATTATTAATTTGAATATACATGTTTGAAAAACTACTTTGATAAATTTTATTTTTAATTATAAAAAACATCGACATAAGTTTAAACTAAAAAATAAATTAAAACACAACAAAATTTTGAAATTTTATATTAAATTAGATATTCTTAATTCACTTTTGTAGGTGGTCCAAAAAACATAACTAATCTAAAACGAGTACGGGACAATAACGAGGAAGTAATTACAACGTTGACATGTTAGTGAAAAGTACCATAATATTTAAACAAAATAATAAAAAACAAAAATTAATTTGAGACGCTTACAATAAATTATTTTAAGAAAATTTCAATAACTTTGAAATTATATTAATTACAAATAGCTATACTACATATTATAGATATATTTAAACAACTCACAGCACGTTATTCACTTCATGCAAAAATATTTCACATAGAAGAATATAAATATTAAATAGAATATACCTCTATTATTAATAAATAAATAAAAGTACATATTATTAAAAAAAAAAAACAAATGAAATGCTGAGCACTGGAAGATTAAGAAGAGTATTCCAAAAGTTTTGCATCCTGCAACACTTGTTTTAAGTCAGCCTTGATGTCTTCAAATATTTTAGTATGACGGATCATGCTTTCTTTAAGCAACACGCGTGCTTGCTCAATCTCTTTTAAATGTGCACGTTTGCTCATAACTTTTGTGCGCAAATCCTGCAAAATTAAGATGTAAAATATATATCTTTAAATGATATTACATCAATATTATAGCTCCCATCTTACCGCCAATTTTGCCTCCTGACTTTCGACTTGTTTCTGCATAAATCGTATTTTCTTTTCCTTGTAAAACATAAAAGTGGGTATCGTACGAGCCTCTGGACTCTTATTTTCATATTTCCTATACAATATAAACAAAAATAAATTTACTTAACACAAAAAAAATCTATATTATATTATTTTACCAATTTTTATGTGCATGTTCTTTATATTTTTCCTTCAATATTTGAAGATAAGCTAAATTTGTCCCAACATTTTCTACTGACCAAAGCTTATCCTGCGTATGTTGAATTCCTTTCAATAGTTTCTGTTTCAACCAATCCTCTGGAAACTTCAATATTGAATTCTCTTTTTCCTTAAAGACTTTAGCAAATAGTTCAAAATGCTCGGCACTACATTAATAATAATATACAGAATATTAAAATATTGATTCTATACGAAATAGTTTAGCTTAATATAGTACATTAATATATGCTGCAGCTGCATTATTTCTACAGGCCGGGGAATGTGCAATATGATTTGATAATAATACATATTGCAACAAGCCTCGACCGGTAAATAAAATGCAAATTTATTCAACTCTTTTGTTTATTGTTTCATTCAGAATATTGCAGACATTATACTTAACCTCAACTTTGCTACCATTTGCTGAAAAACTGCAGAATATTCATCTTTAGCATTTTTAACAACTTCTTCTTGTATTTCATTGGCTTTTTCTTTTTCCTCGGCCATTCCGTTATTACTGTACTTGAAACGCACACGCAAAACAACGCAATATTACTACAATAACTTTACAAATAGTAATAAGTGCCGTTTAATTATGAAATTAAAAGAAAATGCTAAGAGCGCCATTATTTGACATTTGTTGTAATATAGAGTGATGCCAGTTTTTCGATATTGTTTTCAAACACCCAGCAGGAAAATCAAGCACTTTATT